GGGGGGGGGGGGTGTCGACCTAAGATACGCAACTTCAGCTACGTGAATAGCGTAGCTGAAGTGGCGTATTTTAGGTCGATTTACCTGGCTATGAGGACGGCGGCGAGTCGACGGCTGCCGCGCCGCCGTCGACTCTGCTTCCGCCTCTTGCCGCGGTGGATTTCCGGAGTAGACGGAAGAGCCATCGGGGATCGATTTTATCGCGTCTTCACTAGACGCGATAAGTCGATCCCCAATAGATCGATTGCTACCCGCTGATTCGGCGGGTAGTGAAGACGTGCCCTTAGCTTCACCCAAGCCATCACTGCCCAAACCATAGAGACTTTATGGGACCCTGGGTGAACTTGCATTTTGGTGCCCCTTGCTCCCCATTGCCTCTGGTCCCCCATGGGCTCCCCACCCTCCCTTCCTCCCAACCTCTGCACTGTGCCACCTTCACCCCTAATCCCTGCACCTCCCTTCTGCACCCCTAACCCCTGCACTGTGCATGCCCCCTTCACCCCAACCCCTGCATTCCCCTCTGGTACCCCAATACCTGCTCCCTCCTTCACCCCTAAACCCTGCACTCCCCTCCTGCGCCCCTAACCCCTGCACTCCCCTCCTGCACCCCTAACCCCTTCACTGTGCCCCCTTCACTCCTATCTCCTGCATTCCCCTCCGGTGCCCCAACCCCTGCACTGTGCCCCCTACACCCCAACCCCTGCACTCCCCTCCTGCGCCTCTAAACCCTGCACCCCTTCACTTCTACCCCCTGCACCTCCCTCCTGAGCCCCTAACCCCTGTATCCCCCTCCTGCACCCACGTGGGGAAACTGACCCACCTGGATGCACAAAGCAGCTGGCATTGCTGCTCGCTCCCCCACTGGACCGATGCTCCTCTGCCCCGTGCACCCCCTAGGCTGCATAAGGAGAGGGCAGGAGAGCAGCAGCTGCTGATGCCTCAGCACAGCCCAGGTGAGGAAGCGACCTGAATGCAGGGAGCCCTGGTGTTGTGTGTGAGTTGCGGGGAGAGAGAGAGAGTGTGTGTCAGTGTGTGTGTCTGACAGAGTGTGTGTTGAGGGGAATGTGTGTGTTCCTGAGTGTAGGAGTGCGCTGGCTCTTTAAGAAAGCACTGAGGGTCAGGAGCCTGAAGGCTTGTGTTCAGACACAAGCAGCGGCCACCAGCTCCAGACCCAGAGAGGCAGCAGCACACACAGTGATTCCCCCTGTCCCGTCACCCCAGCTCAGTGGAAATTGAGTGCACGGGTGAGGGGACACCCCCGACATCACCCCCCCCCAGCAGACAGGAGGATGCTCCCAGAGTCCCAGTCCGAGTGGCCAGGGCGTAGGGTGACCAGATGTCCCAATTTTATAGGGACAGTGCCAATATTTGGGGCTTTTACTTATATAGGCTCCTATTACCCCCCACTCCCTGTCCCGATTTTTCACACTTGCTGTCTGGTCACCCTACCAGAGCTGCTCCAGGGAGAAAGGGGGAGGGGGCAGGAACAGCAGCTCTTGCACACGTGGAGCAGGGGGGAGGAGGGGACCTCCTGCTTCGGAGGAGTCATCTGGCTCAGATGGCTGGCTGTCCAACTGCCCCCTGCAGCTCGGGTCTCTCTCCCACTCCAGCAATGCTGCTCGCCTGCTTGCCGCCTCCATCAGCCCAGCTGGCCCTCAGCAGGTCAGGTGGGAATCCAAACCCTGCGCACCGCTCCCTCCCCAACCCAAAGGCCGGCCCTGGACACACACACACACAATAATGTTTTGGTATTAGCCTCTGTCAGGTTTTGTAATTGTTAGAGTTACAATGTTGTGATCATGTGCTTCTGTATGATGTGGCTAGGGTGACCAGATAGCAAGTGTGAAAAATCGGGACGGGAGTAATAGGAGCCCATATAAAAACCCCCCCCAAATCTCGGGACTGTCCAGAGGTGAAAGTAAGCTGGTCCGGTCCGGTCCGGCAAACCGGCAAGAGCCGGTACGCCGTGCTGGACTGGACCGGCTTCCCTGGCGGTGATTTAAAGGGCCCAGAGCTCCAGCCACTGCGGGGAGCTCCGGGCCCTTTAAATCACCGCCGGAGCACCAGCAGCGGGGCTCAGGTGGCACTTTAAAGGGCCCAGGGCTCCCCTCAGTGGCAGGCGCACCGGGCCCTTTAAATCCCCGCCCAAGTCCAGCTGCCAGAGCCCCAGCGGCGGCCAGGCTTTGGCGGGGCTTTTAAGGGCCTCGGGCTCCCCTCAATGGCTGGAGCCCCGGGCCCTTTAAATCACCGCCAGAGCCCTGCCGCCCCGGGGTAGCGGCTGGCCGGAACCCCGGGCCCTTTAATTCGCCCCTGAGGCCCGGGGTTTCCAGCCGCCTCTGCAGCTGATAGATC